AAAAAAAAAAAACTAAAAAATTAATTTGTTTCATTAAATTAATTTTTCGCCTTTAGCTTTATTGCTCTGAGTCTGAGTTCACAAATAATAAACTTCGTTTCTTTCTCTGTTGCTATTTTTTGTTTATTTGTTCTATTTGTTTTGTATTTTTGTTATTTACTTAGTTGTTATCCTTTTTTTTAAAAAAAAAATTGTGACTTAAATGGAAAAAAATACATTAACATTAACATTGATACATTATATATCATAAATTCATAATTACAATTTACATACATTAATTTTTTTTTTTTCTGTTAAGGCGGGCCAGCCCGCGCGGGGCGGGCCTCTAATATCCCAGCCCAACCCACTCTTTTGGCGGGGCGGGGCGGGCTGGCCCGCGGGGCTAGACCCATTTTGAAATGTAGTGATCGTGTGTTATTTTTTAATTTCGTGACCGATGGACTCTTTTATTAGTTAGTTGGTTTGAATCAATATATAACAAATTTTGTTGCCAATCGTTATTAGAGTTTTTTAATTAATTTGTGGAAATACATAAATAAAAAGAGACCTAAACTATGAATTTTTTTTCATCTTTTGAAATCATATAAATGACAAACACTATCTTTTAAAATAAATAATGATAATGATTATAAATTGTATTATCAAAACCGATAAGGTATATAAGTTCGTTTTCCTTTTCAAATCGATAATGAAGAAAAAGTCTAATTGGGGAAAAGATGATATATACAAATCATGATTTTTAGAATCTGATATAAATAAATCTTAGCATGCAGTTTCAAACAATTTAATAATATAATAATAGACTGAATGAATTATGATTCAGATTCATGCAGAAAAAATTTTGAACAGATTTTTAAAATCATGATATATACAAATCAAGATTTTCCTTGGAGATTTATTCGGATTTCCAAATTGTTTGGAAATCACGATTTCTAAAATCATGATTTATTCGAATTTACATTCGGATTTCCAAATTGTTTGGAAAAATAGGAGATTTAATCGGATTTTGATTCCTTATTGGTTACTAATATAAAAGTATTTGATATTATTAATAAAAAAAAAGAAAAAGTTGATTTACTATTTTTAGGAGATAATTAATGAAAGTGGCGAGAAATTATTTCTAAATTTGATTTATGTTAATCCTTATTATATAGGATTAACATATATGTTAACATATATATTAACATATAAGTAACATATATGTTACTTTCACGTAAATACTAATATATATATATATATATATATATATATATATATATAAATTATTTCTAACAATTATTAGAATTATGATTGATTTTTAAAAAGAATCTTTAGTTGACAATATTAATTATATGTTTTATATTGTATTTTAAAAATTTTTAAAATACGTATGGTAAGTGTATTTCTTAAATTAAGTGTATTAAGTATGGTAAGTATATTTCTTAGATTTATTTGATTTTGATTCCATATTTTGATTGTATTTCTAAAAAAATTGGATAAAAAAGGTATGCTAATAAATAGAGATTTTGTTAATTTACTATTTTTAGGAAATAATTAATGAAATTGGCGGGAAAGTGTTTCTAAAAGTGAATTATGTTAATCCTTATTATATATTAACTAGTATGTAACCCGTGCGATGCACGGGCTGTACTTTTTTTGGTAAAATTTATAAATTGAAGGCTATATTAATCAATAACGTATGATACGTAGAGCATTTATCACTTGATCATAAAATATTCGTCATAAAAAAAGGCATACATCATCAAAAACCTCTTTGTACATAACATTATTGATTTTTAATACAACCAACCCACGCTCCACCAAATTATTATATATAAAAAGCAATATTAAAAAATATCAAAATTTATAATATTTTATTTTTTTAATACTACCATCACACAACCTTGCTCTATCAAGCTACATTATGAGAACACATAGATGACCTTTGCCTTTATAACGACTCTCAAAACTAATAGTATTGTCCCTATAATAGATAAAATAATAATTTCAAACTAATAAATTTTTCTTAAACGTATATAACAATTAAATACCTTTATGCAAATACTTACTCCAAATCGAAAAGAGTAAAGTCAATCATTTGGGTATGTTGTCCTGCAACTTGCTTGAATTGCACATGTTGAATTTCTACTACACAACCCAATGACATCTACATTCATAAGAAATAAAAAAAAAATATTTAATAATTGTTAGATATTATAATGAACATATTCGATAGTTATTCTTATCGAAAAGTTGAAGACTCATCGACATTTTCCACATCACAAAACGTTGCAAAATTTCAAAAATCAAAACGAAAAATAGAGAAATAGGTTGGGTTGGCTATGATTTTTGTTTTTCTATTCAAAATTATTTCGTACTTGGTAATTGTAGATCCACATTTACTAAGATTTCTTTCCACTCTGTAGTTGCAAATTGCATAACCATCTTCTTCCTCTAATTCTTTTTGGATTTTCGGAATGTTAAACTCCCGGACCAAACTGGTGATGTGTGCTCCCTAGACAATTTATTGTGTGCTCCCTAAACAAAATAAATTGTCGGTTAAATAAAAATAATGAATCGAACATGAAAAGAAAAAGAAACAGTAAACAATATTATACTTCAATATCATGAAAATAATTTCCACGATGTTATGGTAAGAATTAGGAAATTTGATCTCAAACATGTGAACCTCTCGAAGTTGCAACATAGCTCTCTTTGTACTTTCAACATCTTTGATAAGAACGAAAGGTTAGTCCATTTTTTGTTTGACACTTACTATGGATTTCTCAATTTTTTGTGTTCATAAATGGTGATTTTTTCGACTGGAGTCAGGCATGATATTTATAAGCATACTAATCATTTTAACAACAAAAAATATGGAAATAAAAATACACTGAAAATAAGTAATATTGTAATAAATACAATAAATGTGATTTATCGGATTTAAGATAAATATATATGGAATATAACCAAAATTGTTACCTTGAAATGTGGATTTTGGTTATATATTTATTTTCATTAATCTAGTTAGTTTTTATACCAAATCCATTCAAATAATTAAAACCTTTTTTTGTATTGTTACTTTTTCACAGAGATTCGATGGACATGAAATCACATTTTATCATTTAAAAAAATATTTACAAATACAATTACCTAAAAAACAAAGATATTTTATTATTTGTAGTAAAAATCTAACTAAAATAATCAGAGTATTCGTAATTCATATTTTTTTAGGGAAAACATGTTTCATAAATAAATTAAATTGTATTGATCTAAATTTTATTTGTATGAATCTTATGTATCTATTTTGATTACAACGATCATTTTCTTGCTTTGATTCATAATATATATTCACATGAAATTTAAGTACGTGGAGATTGTATATTCTTTACATATATTTTTTTAATTTATAAAATAAAAATTGAGAACATAACATGTCCAATAACATTACTTTGTCATTTATGTGGTAAAAAAATATATGTATTGCCAACTTGTAAACAATATTTCAGTTTTTAATTGGTTAATTTTTAAATCTTGTTGATAAAAAAAATTGCACTGAACGAAATAAGTTTCATAAAAATAGAGATTTTATAAAATGATTAAATTTTTCATCGGTTAATTTAAAATGGCAGGATCCGAGAATATCTTATGTTCTTTTCAATGGCTTTTTAATTTTTAATCGGTTGATTAAAATATTAATATTAAAATGGCTTTTTTCTTGGGTAAATACTATGAATATATGAGAGTCCTGCTTTGATGAATCTCCCAAATGTATTATTATAGTATTTAATTAGTTGATGAAGTAATATAGTTTTATCTTTTTTTGGCAGACTCCACAAAAAACGCAGGATATGCGGCCACAAAAAGAGGAGATTTATTTGGATTTTGATTCCATATTAGCTACCAATATAAAAGTTTTGGATTGTATTCCTAAAAAAAAGGAGAAAGCAGATATGCTAATAAATCACAATTTTGTTAATTTACTATTTTTAGGCAATAATTAATGAAATTGGCGGGAAAGTGTTTCTAAAAGTGAATTATGTTAATTCTTATTATATATTAATAGATAGATGTTAATCTGGCAGTAATTAATAGTGCCAATGGAGCCACAAAAATGGCTATGTACGTTCCAAATTATGTGCAATTGCTGTTATTCAATATTTAATGGCGTGAAAAAAAGGATTTTCATTATTGTACCGAAATCCAAAAAATCACTACGTATATTCCAAATTATGTGCAATTGCTGTTAGTTAATGGTGTGAAAAAAGGATTATTATTCCATTCCATATTTAATCGGTCAGTAATTAATAGTGATTTTATGAAATTATGTTAAATTACTATTTATAGGCAGTAATTAATGTTTTTGGCGGGAATTAGTTTCTAAAAATTAATTAAGTTAATTCTTATTATATATTAATAGATAGATTGTATAGATATAGATATAGATATTGATAAATATAGATAAAAATAAAAGTATAGATAGATGAATATTGACATAATTTTTTTTAGCCGTTTCTTAGCATTGCCTACTACTTTTAGTAGTTTAATGAATTAATTTGACAACAAGTAATGCATGCTATATGTGAAGCTACCTAATCCATATGTCGCTAACAAACTACTGGCAAAAAGCAGAGAAATTCATGGATAACCCCCCATTCTGCTGAAGTGTGCAAGTGCCTATTTGCGTGTGAAGAGACAAAAAAAGATGAAGTCATCAACATCCTTTTTCCTCATGTCGTTTTCTGTTACCATTGGAAACAAGAAAAAACATAGACAAAATATAGAAGAAAATTAAAGAAAATATGGCATTAACAGATGCAGTATCTTCTGGAAACGAACACATAATTTGTCAATATAAAGACAACATTGTCTCATTTGGCCAATTTCTACACCGAAATCCTTTAAACTTGTCACTTCCTCTTATTCTGCTGCAGCTTTCTCTGATCACATTAACCACTCACACCATTGAGCTCTGCCTCCAGCCGCTGGGACAATCCTCGGTGGTGGCTCATATTCTTGTAAGCTCTTTTCCTGATCATTTGCACAACTATTGTTGTAGTGGCTTTTTTTATACAATAAATTAATATCTCCTAAGATACATGCAGGGAGGTGTACTGTATGGACCGTCCCTCCTAGGCCACGACCCCAACATCTCAATGACACTGTTCCCAATCCGCAGCGTGGTTATCCTGGAGACGCTGGCAGCCTTTGGAATCATGTTCTTCTTCTTTGCCATAGGAGTTGGATCGGACACGGGCATGATGTTCCGGCCTGGTCGGCAGTCGGTGGTCATCGGCATCTCGGCCATGTTCTCCACCCTCATCCTCACTGTCCTATTCGCCCTCCTTTTGAAGAGCCACGTTGGCATGGACGAGTCCCTCTCCCAGGCTCTCCCCTTCATAGCCGCCTCCCAAGGCCTCACCGCCTTCCCAAACATCTCCTACTCTCTAGCCGAGCTCAAGATGACAAACAGTCATCTCGGCCGCATTGCCATCTCGGCAGCCATGTTCTGTGACCTCTTTGGGATGTCCCTCGTGGGTGTCCTGCTCGCCATCATACAATCGCGCAACGACCCCCTAAGGTCGGCCCTCTCGGTGTCGTCGGCCTTCACGTTTGTGGTGGCCATGGCGTACGGGTTGGGCCCACTAGTGCGCCGCGTGTCCAAGAAGGTGCCGAGTGTGAGGTCGGTGGGGGAGAGGCATGTCTTGTGCTTCTTCGTGGGTGTGCTAGGGGCTGCACTGCTCACAGAAACTATCGGGCAGCACTTTGTGCTGGGACCGCTTGTGCTGGGCCTGCTACTGCCTCAGGGCTGCCCCCTGGGAGCTGCCATCATCGCCAGGCTCGAGTACCCGATTGGGAAGCTCTTGTACCCGACCTTCCTCACGACAAGCGGGCTCAAGACGAATGTGTTCAAGATCAACCTGTGGTCACTGTGGATCGTCACACTGCTCATGGTGTTTGCAGGTGTCATCAAGATTGGGGCCGTTGTGTGCGCCAGCCGTTTCCAAGACATAAACTTGAACGATTCTGTTGTCATCGGGCTCATGTTGAATGCAAGAGGGGCGTGCGAGGTCATTGTGTATAATCTGCTACGAGAGTCCGGGGTATGGTATTCATGTTATGTTACGAAAATTATTTTTAAAATTAATAATTATTAATGGGATTTGAAAAAAAAAAAAAACGATGACAGATTCTTACAGATCAAGAATTTGCCCTGTGTGTTCTATCCGTGGTTGGTGTCACATCCGTGATCACACCTTTGATCAAGCACATGTACGACCCAAGCAGGCGTAAAGTTCCGTTGAGCCGCCGTACCATCCAGCACCTGCGGCGCAACACTGAGCTGCGCATCCTCGTGTGCATCCGTGAGCAGGACAACATACCCATCACCGTCAACCTCCTCGAGGCCTCCCTTGCAACCCAGCACAGCCCCGTGGCCATCATTGCCGTCCTCCTCGTCGAGCTCGTGGGCCGTGCCACACACATGGTGGTGGCCCACCAGTCCACCCGCACGCTCCACCCTCTTCATTCAGAGTCGGGCCCCATTGTGAATGCCCTCCGTCAGTATGAGCTCCACAACGAGCCCTTCACTACTGTCCGCCTCTTCTCCGCCATCTCTCATATGCACACCATGCACGACGACATCTTCCGAGTCGCCCTCGACCATCGCGCCAACATTCTAATCCTCCCCTTTCACAAGCGTTGGGAGATTGACGGCTCTGTAGTCTCTGAAAACCGAGCCATGCAGAACATGAACATAAGGGTCCTTGACTGCGCCCCTTGCTCGGTTGGCATCCTCGTCGACCGGGCCGTACTCACGGGCTCTGCCTCCATCCTCAACAACCAATCCCAATGCGTGTTCAGGGTCGCTGTCGTCTTTGTCGGGGGACCAGATGATGCAGAGGCCCTCTGCTATGGATCTCGCATGGGGGCCCACGCCAGCGTGGCACTCACAGTCGTTCGCTTCCTACTGTTCGGGCGGGACACTGCTAGGGAAAGAAAGCAGGACGGGAACCTAGTGGACGAGGTGCGGCAGGCAAACTCCAACAACCACAACTTTGTGTACCAAGAACAGGTGGTGAAGGATGGGATGGGGCTGGCCGGGTCATTGAGGGGGGTCAGGAACAACTACGACTTGATGATCGTGGGGCGGGAGCACCAGGCATCCGAGATACTCATGGGGCTCGGGGAATGGAGCGAGTGCCCGGAGCTTGGGGTGGTGGGGGACTTGCTGGCTTCTCAAGATTTCCAGGGGACCGCCTCAGTGTTGGTGCTGCAGCAGCAGAGACTGCAGCCAGGGCAGAATGCTGGTAAGGACGGGGTGACGAGGCCTGTAGTTGGTGGGTTGCAAGATCCTCGGTGGGAGATTTCTATAGACAAAGATAGGGCTTAGTTAGGTAGTTTGTTGGGGAGGAAGACTGTGCGTTGTATTACTCAAGAAAAAAAAAAAGAAAAAAGAAAGGAAATAGGAACAGATGTTAAATTACACATGAAGCAAATTGCTTGGTCTAATTATCTAGAAACTGATATGTTGTTCGATCAAATGTGATGGGCCTCCTATTTTGAGTAGTTCGATTGATGCTGCGGAAATAATGTTATAAATGTACAATGAGTAAGACTCATGGACAAAAGATTAAAGCAGAAATAGAAACAAATGTTGATCACGCATGAAGCAAATTGCTTGATAATCTATTGAAAAAACACCATAGCCATTTTTTGGATCTAAAACAAGAAAGGAAAGAAAACAGAAATCAATGGGGCTCAACTTTCATTTTTCACGTACACAATGTTCAATAGGTTTTTACATGAGCTGAGAGAAGAATATTTATACACACGAGGATCATGTGGACAAGTGTCCTTAATTTGAAATTAATCCTGCAGTTCTAATGAATCAAAACTGGGAGTTTGGTTTCTTTCTGCAGCTTTAACTTTGGTAGCTTTTCTTTGTCTGCATGTCCATGCTGGCTCATTGCTTGGTACATGATCGACGTGCTTTTTTCTTGACTTAGTCTCCTATTGCATTTCTTCAGCATTGCTAACACTCCCCCTCAATCCAATCGAGCCTTTACTTGTCACTCCCAATTTATCTTTAAGTCGAGAGAAGGATTGAAAAGAAAGTGGTTTGGTAAGGACATCACTCATCTGTTCAGCAGAAGGAATGTGGCAGACTAATAGACTTCATGTTTTCACCTTTTACCTAACAAAATGATAGTCGAGCTCTACATGTTTGGTTCTTCCATGCATGACTGCATTTGATGCCAAGAAAACAGCACTCTGATTATCCACCCAAATCACAGGTGTTTTGAAAATTTCTATCCCAGCTTCACGTAGTAATGACTGAATCAAAGTAACCTGAGAGGCAGCATGAGATAAGCTTCTATACTCTGCTTTAGTGCTTGATATAGAGACATAGCTTTCCTTTCTAGAACACCAAGATACCCAGCAGTTCCCATGAGAAACACAATAACCGGTTGTGGACCTTCTATCATCTAAATCTGCCCCCCAATCAGAATCTGAAAAAGCTTTAAAATCTAGATGAGCTGATCTTCTTAGGTGCAAGCCATGATCTGCTGTACCACCTAGATATCTCAAAATTCTTTTAACAGCTTTCCAGTGAGTATCTAAAAGACTTGACATGTACTGGCTCACCTTATTTACAGCAAAACTCACCTCAGGCTTTGTTAAGGTAATGCACTGCAAGGCCCCTACCACACTTCTATATGAGGTGTGATCTATTGTGGGGTTACCACCTTCTTTTGATAGCTGTAGTGAGGACACCATAGGTATAGAAACTCCTTTAGCTTCTTCCATGTTTACTCTGTTCAGCAAATCAAGCACATATTTCCATTGATGGAGATGAAGACCATCTGTACTTTTGCTTATCTGAATTCCAAGGAAGTGTTCAATCTCTTCTAAATCTTTCACAGCAAACATCTTTCCAAAATCCTTAACAAAGCTTTCTATCTCAGCCTAATGGGTTCGAGTTATCAGAATGTCATCCACATATGTGAGAATAAAAAGAAAACTCCCTCTTTCTCTTTTGAAGAAGAGAGAACTATCTGCCTTTGAATCCTTGAACCCCATGGACTTAAGTGCTTCCTTTACTTTGCTAAAACAGGCTCTTGAAGTCTGTTTGAGTCCATACAGGGCTTTAGATAGTTTACAAACAAGATACTCTTTTCCCTTTTGCTCAAAACCTAGGGACTGTCTCATAAAAATAGCTTCGTTTAATTCACCATTGAGAAATGCATTACTTACATCCATTTGCCTTATATTCCAACCATGATGTATTGCTAAAGCCAGGAGGATTCTTATGGTATTGTGCTTTACCACTAGGCTGAAGGTCTGTAAAGTTAAAACCCGGTCTTTGAGAATATCATTGTGCCACAAGCCTTGCTTTATACTTAGAAATGTCTCTACCTGAATTTCTTTTGATTTTGAACACCCACTTGCAACCTACTATGCTTCTGCCTTCTGGAGCCTTCACAAGACTCCATGTATTGTTTCTGTGTAAGGCTTTCAACTCTTCTTGCATTGCCATTTTCCAATGCTAAGCTGGAATGGCCTCATTCAAGGAAGTGGGTTCAACTTCTTGACATTATGTGAGATAGACTTTGGGCTTATAGATTCCTGCTCTAGCTCTTGTGACCATGTGGTGCTTTCTTGTTGGCTCATCTCTTCTTGGCTCCTCATTTGTATCTTTTAAGCCTGGTAAGTCTACGAATAAGGGTATTGCTGGATAACTTGCAGTTTCTGAACTTAAGCTCCTTCTTGTGGATGAGGATATCCCTTGAGTTTGTATGCTTGTGCTGTCACCTTCTGGTTATCAAGATAGGGTGTGCCTTCTCATCTTAAGTTTTGACTTGTTGCAGTATTCTTCTCAATGATTGGGATTCTTGGTAGACTGTACATCTTTTCAAGATTAGCCCCAACATTGTCAGAGGCTTTCTTTTCTGCATAAGGGAACCTTTTTCATCAAACACTACATACTCTCCTGTTTGGGAGCAACACCTTATAGCCCTTGTATTGATTTTTGTACCCCAGAAAGACTCATGCACACGATCTGTAGTCCATTTTGTGCTTGTTGTAGGGTCTAAGGTGTGGATAACATAAGCACCCAAACACCTTAAGTCTCTTGTAATCTGGCTTCACACCATAAAGGATCTCAAGTTGTATTTTGAAATTCAAAGGTCTACTGGGAATTCTATTGAACAAATATATTGTTGTAATGAAATCATCTCCCCAGATACATAAAGGAAAATGTGATTGAGCAATAAGTGACAACCCCATGTTTACTATATCTCTGTGCTTCCTCTCAGCCAAGCCATTTTGGTGAGGTGTATAAGCACAAGAAACTCTATGCATAATGCCACTTTCCTAAAACAACTTGTATAATGCTTGATATTCTCCTCCTCCATCACTTTCAAAAGATTTGATTCTTGTCCCTAATTGATTTTCAACTAGAGCCTTAAAATTCATAAAGGCACTGTGATACATAAAGGAAAATGTGACTGAGCAATAAGTGACAACCCCATGTTTACTATATCTCTGTGCTTCCTCTCAGCCAAGCCATTTTGGTGAGGTGTATAAGCACAAGAAACTCTATGCATAATGCCACTTTCCTAAAACAACTTGTATAATGCTTGATATTCTCCTCCTCCATCACTTTCAAAAGATTTGATTCTTGTCCCTAATTGATTTTCAACTAGAGCCTTAAAATTCATAAAGGCACTGTGCACATCTGACTTTGCTTTCAACAAGTAAATCCAGGTGAACCTAGAATAATCATCTATAAAGCGGCAAAATTTCATTTTTGGTCCATTATATTGGTCATTTTCCAGAAATGGTCCACTAATTTGGCAGACATCAAACTTGATACAATAAATTGTAAAATTCATCATTTTTAGTCTATAAGCCTACGTGGCGTTTTATCGGGCGAATACGTGGACAAGTTTGATGTCCGCCACGTAGGCTTGTTATCCAGCCCGAGAGATTAATGGACCAAAAACGATGAATTTTACAACTTATTGTATCAAGTTTGATGTCCGCCAAATTAGTGGACCATTTCTGGAAAATGGCCAATATAATGGACCAAAAATGAAATTTTACCTCTATAAAGCTAACATAATAAGCATAGCCATTTAAAAATTTCACATGACAAAGGCCCCATACATCACTGTAAATCACCTCAAGTGGACAAGAACTTTTGTGCTGAGAATGATCAAAAGGTAAAGAGTGGCTTTTAGCCATAATGCATGATCCACAAATATTATTTTCAGCATCTGACTCATAGTTTAGGTTACATAACCTTAAAACCCTTTTAACATTGTCATAATTGGCATGTCCCAGCCTTTGGTGCCATAGTTCTAGACTATTACATTTGCTTAATGCAGAAAAATAAGAAAAGGGTTGAGTCTTCAAAACTTGTGGATTCTCTTCACTTGATACTTCATCATGTCCATTCTTTAAGCATTGCAGACTGAATTGATAAAGTCCTTCTTTAAGAACCCCCTTGAGCAGGACCTCTTGAGTTTGTTGGTCCTTAACAAAACAGACATTTTGATGAAACTCAAAAAACACTTTATTATCTTTTGCAAATTGTGATACACTAAGAAGGTTTCTGCTTATCATGGGAACATGCAAACGATTTTTTCAGAATGAACACATTTGAGTGACCAGGATGTTGAATGAGAGAGTTACCAAAATGGCTGATAGCTACAACTTCTCCATTTCCCATGAGCAGTTTGCTTCCTCCATTGTATTCAAAAGCAATGTTGAGGTTCTCAAGTTCATTTGTAACATGATTTGAGGCTTCTGAATTTGGATACCAGTTGGTCTCAGATCATATATCAGAGTAAGTGTTTCCACTAGGCATTTGCACCATGTTAAGGTTGGGATTCCTTCTTGGTGTTTGTTGTCCTTGCCTAGTGGCTTGTTGGTTAGGTTGAGCATCATACCTATACCAACACCTATCTGCAGTGTGGTTTAAACCATGACAGATTTGGCATTAAGGTCTATTGCCTTGGTTCATTTCTCTACCTTTGCCTCTATAAGAACCTCTTCCTCCTCTTCCACCTTGATGTGCACTTCTGTTTCCTTTAAAATGATTGAGGCTTTGTTGAAGTTCCTTTGAGGGTTTTGGGTGACAACATTGGCATATGGTTGAGAGCCTTTTGAGTTGACAACAGATCCTTGGTTCATCTCTAACCTTGACTCATAAGTGAGTAACAATGCATGAACTTCAGCAAGTGTGTGAGGAGGAAATCTTGAGGTCACATTGACTACTACTGAGTCATATTCAGAACCCAGACCAATGAGGATGTGAATAATTTTGTTATGCTCTGAAACTTTCTCACCTGCTATGGCGAGAACATCCCAATGATTCTTGATTCT